CCAGAAACCAAAAAGAAATTTGACGCGTGTGGAACAAGTTTTTGTGTCGCTTTTCGGGGTGGGGGTTGCCTGGGTATTACGAATGCATAGAGCTCAGAAATCTGTCACAGGAGATTATGAAACTTTCCGCTGATTTTATAAATATTCTTTCACTTTCACAGCGGAGGCGCAGTTTGCGGGTTTTGGCTTTCAGCCACAGCCACAGCAGCAGCAGTTCTATCAGCCCCAGCAGCAGTTGGCCTACCAGCAGCAGCCCCGCCAGCAGCAGCAATTCTATCAGCCCCAGCAGCAGCAGGTGTACCAGCAGCAGCAGCCCCGCCAACGTCCTGGATCCGTGTCCAAAGCCAACACCAATGCCTATGAGCGGCAGGTGGACTTTGGCAACAATGTGGAGTACACCCAGGGATTGTCGAACTCGCGGGCCGTGACCCGCCAGAATGGACAGCGAACGGTGACGAACAGTCAGGCGCAGAATCGTGATGTGGACATTGGTGGCCTGCAGATTGGCAACACGCTGACACGCACCAAGACCAATACCAATGGAGCTGTGTCCCAGGGCATTGCCAATCAGTTTAGGATCGGAAATGTGGGACTGGGCGCCTCGCTGTCGCCAACGAACTTGCAGCAGGGACTCGGCCTGCAGCGTGGCGCTAATGGAGATTTGCGTTTGGGCTTGGGTCTGCTCAGCCTGGACCTGGATCGCAATGTGCCCAACTCGAATGCGTTGACGCAGGCCCAGGTGAATGCCCAGGGCAAGGGAGCGCGCGTCAAGTCGAACAGCAATGCGTTGACCAACACTCAGCAATATGGCGGCGTTACCGTTACGGACACACGCGCCAATTCGAAGGCCGTGGGCAAGGCGCGACGTGGACAGACTTCGGCGACAACTGGCGGATTCGGTGGCAATGCGGCGACCAATGGCCAGACCTACGGCGGTCCCTTCCAGCAGCGTGTGGTGCGACAGCCCCAGCAACAATTTGCCGTGCGGCGTCCCAAGCGTCGGGCACAGTTCGTGCCCTTTGGCTATCCCGGCGGTGGCTTTGGCGGACCGTTGGGCTTCGATCGTCCGCGTCGGCAGTTTGGCGGCGGCTTTGGTGGCCCACAGTTTGGTGGCCCACAGTTTGGTGGCCCACAGTTTGGTGGCCCACAGTTTGGTCGTCCACAGTTTGGTGGCCCACAGTTTGGTGGCCCACAGTTTGGCGGTGGCTTCGATAGCTTTGGACAGCCGCAGCAGAAGCAGCAGCAAGACAACAAAAAGAAGAACAACAAAGAGCAGCAGCAGGCTCAAGGCAGTGCCAATGCCCAGGGTGGACCTGGATTCGATCAGCAAGCAGCGAGCAATAACCACGCTAGCAAAGGCAACACTGGCTCCAGCAGCATTGGCTCGAACCTTGCACAGGATGGCAGCAGCGGGCAGGTGAGCTCCGCGAATACCAATGAAATGAACACCCAAACGGCTGGCGGCTTCGACAACACTCAGAACTCACAGAGTCAAGCGTTGAACTTTGATGCTGGGCAGCAGCAGGCATCCAGTGCGAATGCCAATACTAAGCACACGCAGGAGGGTAACCGGGAGACTGTCGGCTCCAACAGTGGCTCCACGGCCACCAACAACAATCAGTTTGGTTCCTCCTCGAACATGGCGCAGACGAACAGCCAAGTGGTGCGCGACGGCAATCGTCAGGAGGCGACCAGCGATGCCAGCAGCCAGTCGATGTTCCAGGGCAACGGCCAGAATCCAGGCAATGCCGCTGCCAACACCAGTGCCCAGACCAGCTCCAAGACGGGCCCCAATGGTTATGTCAGCAATTCCGCATCGAGCAGCGCCTCGGCCACCAGCCAAAATGGACAATCGGCCAATGCCAATGCGAGTGCGAATGCCGGTGGCGGTGCCGGTGGCAATGGCGCGAATGCCGGCGCCAATGGTGGTGCATTCGGCGGTGGTGCGAATTCCAATAGCAATGTCTATGGTGGCTTTGGCTTCTTTGGCCGTTAGTAGTCAGATGATCTCTCCACGCAGGGAGTCGTCCCCATATTTCTTTGTGTATTTTTCATGTGTTTTTTTTGGCTTATTTAAACTTTTTTTTTTGTGTGTGTCACTGTAATAAAAACTGCATTTAATGTTTAATTTTAAACTCACCAAAACTCACCACTGCACGCGACACTTCGGTTACACCTTTTCGATGTTCGTTTTGCAACACTGGCACGCACTTTTTGGTAGCCTGCTTTTAGGCTTGCAAATAAAAGAAATCCATTTGCTTACCTCTCCCTTCATGCCGCCAGTGAGAAGACACAGCGCACAGCAACAGGTGCGACTACAGCGCTGGCATCCGTCCAACATCAATGGCAGCAGCTCCTCCTCCAGCAGCTCCACCACTCGCATCAATGACAACTTTGAGTATGTCTACATCAATCACTCATCGCGCATGGAGGACATGCAGACGGAGCTGCAGCCAAGTGCTGCTGCGCCGGTGAACACCTCAGTGGATGCCTTTGGACCGTTCGATGTCACACAGCGGCAGGGACGCACCTTTGGGGTCATTTATGACTGGATCAGTGGACTCTTCAATTCGTGTGTGTCGCCCTGCACGCTGGAGGCGTTTCAGGAGCAGCGCTGCTGCGATACATATGTTGTGGGTGGACCCTCCCCATACCCTCCACGGCCGCCGCAGAGCTGCTGTGCGCCAGTGGGACCGCCACCACGGCCATATCCGCTGCCTCCGCCTCCTCCGCCGCCGCCGCCGCCACCGCCGCCGCAGCGTCCCTGGTACCCGCCACCCTATGCGCCTGGCTACCCGCTGCCCTATCCGCCCAGCAAGAAGACGCCCGTTGTGGTGGTGGCCACGCCCATCAATTGCTGCACCGTCTGCACCTATACCTACTACGGACCGCCGCCATGCGGTCCCTACAACAGCAGCGGCAGCGGGGGGAATGGCAAGCGGGTCATCTATGTGCCACCGCCCTACTACGGCCGCTAGCGATGCCACCCAGCCAGGCACACAAAACACAACAATATATGTATGCATGCAGCTACCTATCTACCCACTTTGTGTCTTTGTTTGTTCTCCCTCACGCTCTCTCTCGCTCTGCCTCTCTTTCGGCTTTGCTAATTCCAAAAACGCTTGCATAATCTCCAGCTCAGAGTGAGAGAGAGAGAGAGAGAGAGAGAGGGTGCGGTGTGGCTGTCAAAAATGCGGCAAATAAGACATACGACAAGACAAACGAGTAGCAGGAACCGAGCTTGGGGGGGGGGGGGGGACACGGGAGTTGACTGCACCTAGGCAAAGCCATGAAATTGTAGTACACTGCCGAAGGTGTCCCTTCGAACCAACAAACAACACAACAACAGTTGCCAATTTTCACATTAAAAGTTTGCTCTGATCGGTGTAAAGCAGAGACCGCAAAAGCAGAGTAAAGCTTCTTGTGGCTTCGGCCCACGCATTGAGATCTGCAGCAGCGGCAGAGAAACAGCTTCGCATGCACTTTTGCTCGGCTGCGCGCAGCGGCAGAGAAGCAAGAAACGTTTTTGAGCTTCGTGTGGCTGCGTGCAAGCGCTCTCGTTCGCTTACTCTCCCCCTGTGCATTTATCTGAGCAGCAAATGAAGATCCACTGCTCACGAGCGACAGAGGCGCAGGAAGAAGAAGCAAATGCAGTAAAGCATGGGAGTGACTGTCTACCTGCGTGCCGACACCAGGCGTAAAATGTTAGCACTTACGCTTTACGATCGATACTTACTTCTACTACTGGATTATAACTTTACGAGGAGTGTCGTAAGAATATTCCCTAGTCGTTGTGCGCTTAATTTTAGGGGAGGTTAACTTGGCCTATCTTTGTCGCCTTTTGTTGTGGGGCTTCCTTTCTTTGAGCCTCTGCTTCGGCCTGTGCGCTGTGCCGTTGACTTGTGCCATGTGTGTGTGCATGCATTTTTGTTGTTGCTGCTGGTGCTGCTTTGTGTTTGTGGCTGCAAATTTATAACAGGCAGCAGACCCAAACCAGAGGCACACAGTCTAGGAGGAGGGAGGGAGGGCTCAGTCTTGGGTGCGCTGGCAGCTTGGCAGGCTGCCACATATGAGGACACTCTTAGGCCCAGACACGACAGGACATGTCACGTCAGCGGCACAAAGCACAGCACAAAGCCCTGATAACTGCACTCGCCTGATAAGCGCCACGAAAACAAGGCCAACAACAGGGAGGGATAGGGATAGGGATAGGGAGAGGGATAGGGGACCGAGACAGGAACCAGCCAAAAACCCGGAAGCAGAGCCCGGGCACATCGCGCCTCCTTTTGTCATTTCGCTCATAACGTTAATTTATATTCAGTTCAGTCTAAAAAAAAATTATGCCAGTAGTAGTACAATGAAACCCGTGTGACAGCCAGTGAGGAGAGGCGGAGGATCCAAGCCCGGGGAAAAGTGCTTAAGTCTATGGGGAAGGAGGCAGGAGGAAGGAGGCAGCCAGCAGGCGAGGCAGAGGTTCTGCTTAGTTGTAGAACTGCTGCTGACGGCGACGCGCTGGAGTGGCAGCCACGTAGCGGCGTCCCTGGCTGAAAGAGGAGCCCGAGCCCGAGCCCGAGCCCGAGACTGAGACTGAGCTGGAGCCATCGTTGGCCGAGTATAGCAGCAGGGGAATCTCCTCCACGCTGGTCTGCTGCAGATGTGCCGAGTTACGGACACCGGAGCGTAGCAGCTCATCGGCGGACAGGCGACGCAGGCCGGGAGCGGACGCTGCCAGGGGGGCAACGGATGCTGGTGCTGCCGCACCATCAAGAAGCTGATCCTCATCGTTCTCGGGCTGGTCGAGCACCAGATCCTCGGGCTGTGCAACGGCAATGCTGTTGCCCACGGCAGCAGATTCACCCTCGCTGTCCGCGGACGTGATGGAGCTGCTATGCAGCAGCGCTTCAATGTTCTCCAGATTGGACAGGCCATTGATCTGCAGTTGATCGTGCAGCTCGCTGGGTATGGCAATGGCTTGGACATCCTTGTGGCCCGAGATGCCATTGGGTGTGGGAATGAACTGCACATTTTCGGGTATCTGATCGGTGGGATAGACGGGCACCAGCTCGGCCTCATTCTCATTGCTGGACTTGAGCAGGATCAGAGAGATGGGCACGATCTTCTTGAATTTCAGCAGCACCAACTTCTTGATGGCCACAGCGCCGGGAAAGACGCGACTCTGCGGACCACCATGTGGCTTCGAGATCAAAGCACGCTGCTCAAACTGCTGACGATGCCGGTGACCGGGCACATGACGAGCTGCAGGAGAGATGGGAAGATGCGAAAATGATGTGGATTATTATGATGTGTCCTTTTGGAGCATTTCCCCCGCCCTTGAGACGTACCCTCGCTGATGGCTAAGACAGCCAGGCCAATGGCCAATAGTGCTACCAACTTCATTGACATAATGCTCTGTGGATTCGGTTGCTGCTTTCTCTGGTGTGTCGCTGGGCGAGCGGCTCTATTAAATGGCTCAACAAGTGCCCCAGCAAAGACATTTTATATTGGGTGGAACGTCAGAATGGACTCCCAGACAGAGACCCAAAGAGAGAGAGACACATAAAAATCGCTCGTATAAAGATTTTCGAAACAAAAGAAACATTAGCAAAACCCAAAAACTAAAAAAAGAACCTCCTAACGATGCGAAATTCAGTTCGGAAAGAACGAGAAGAAAGGGGCAACAGGGCCACCGATTGGCAAATTATTAAACTATGCAAATGTAGCACCAAGACCCAAGTCACTTGATTTATGTATGTATCTTGGCCATGTCTAGGCAGTTTCCCCTCTCTCAGACAAGTTCCCTCACAAGTCGTTGACCGTTTCCATTCCAAATCCCATTCCAATTCCCATTCCAATTCCAATTCCAGATGCAGTAAACCTCAAATGTTGTGGTTTAAGTTTGGGTCCAGCCAAAATCTAAGATTGAAATTTGCATTTTGGGTCGTTGTCTGTCCAAATTTTTGTACAATTCTTGGAGCCAATTTTTGAGGTCAAAAGTGAGATTTTCAATAAGTCAAGCGAGATCCCTAATGGGTGGGCCCTTGTGGAACACATTTGTCAATGTCCAACGAGGGCGAGGGCTAGGGCGAGGCCCTTACCCATAGCCATGTCAGAGTTCAAAAAGAAACTTGTTCCAAATATGCTTGTGTTCCCAATTCGCAGAGCAGCCACAGAGCCACACACATCGTAGCATCGCTGGACAACGCGTATTTAAATCAATCAATTGGATTCAATTCCATGGAAACTTTTATTCCCGTCTTTGCCATTATTTGGCTCCATCGACGCTGGCTACGCTGATTATACACGGTCTTTTGGCTCAGCTCTTTGATTAGCTCGAAAATGGTCTTTGTTGGAGTCCCAAAAAGAATGCAGAACTAAAGTCAGCAAAGGTTTGGCGGATACTGCCACACAAATACTCATTTCTAGGCAAGTCTTTGCTGCAAATATTAAGTATACGACGAAGATCCAGAAAATTATACACTGATTTGATTATTCAATTGAAGCTTTGTTTTCATTGTAAATTGGAATTTGTATCTGAATAATAGTATTTGATGCACATATTTTGGATGCAACTGTGTGGAAAAATATACAAAAAGTAAAACAAATAACAACAAATTCTTTGCTGTCTATTTATTCTATATAACTTGGCAGAAAGGTTCAAGGAGTTTTTTCATGGCATAGGAAAATGTTATTAAAATTGCATTAGCAGCCTCAATCCCAATCCGATTTCATGTGGCGGGAGATTGGACGCTTTCACTGACTTCCTTCGACTGCCCAGAGGGCCAAGTGATTCATTTATTTTTTGTAATATTTTCTAACTCTCTCTCTCTCTCTCTCTCTGGCAGCTGGCTGGCTGGCTAATCTAATTTATGTTGTATTTTTGCGTCAATTATTTAAATTTGGCACAGCTACCGTTCCGTAGTGCCGCAATGTAAAAGCATTCAGCCGCATCCATCGCGGCTACGTGGTTCAGCATTTCAGATGTGGTCCAACATATTTGCGGCCCATTATGTGCGACATAAACAAATGTTTTAATAACCAAATTATGCAAAGAGCAGCAGGAACGGCCCAATGTATTCATTAGCACGGTTTAGGCGGCTGAAGGAGAGCCCAACAGCAACAACTTGCGGCGAATTTCATGTTAATGGAAATGCATAAAAAATACATAAATACTCATTAGGGCCAAGTGTGTCTGTGTGTGTGTGTGTGGAGTCTGGAAGAAAGCTGCTGACCTGCGACATGTCCGAGGTCAACTCAGCTTAACTCATCTCTCACCTCCAAGGGGTCAATCTATTAGAAAGTTATTAGGGAAAGTTCTTGGTATTTTTGGAGAAAATTTGCGCCCGGAATTGGCACAATGATCCAAAATAGAAATCGCCGAGAAGTGCAATTGCCACAAGGGGGCTGACAAAAGTTTCGCAAGAACTAGTTCTATTCCATCGAACTTTTTCGCTGCTGAAAATAGCTAATGCAAAAAACACTTCGATATAAATATTTATAAAATTATATTCAAAATTGTTTTGGAACACACAATTAATATTTAAAAAATGTTAAAATAATGCGTAGCTTACATCCAATATTTGAGTCCCATGTTAAAGGATGCTTCTGGGTTTCTTGTCCAACTTGTCTCTCTTTTTGACTCAACTCCTTTGTACGGATCAGAAATATTAAAACAGTAAATGAAAAATGTAACAATAATAAATGGCTAAAAACTAATCGAATTTTCATTTATTAATTGCTAGTTCCGTATCTAGTTCCGTAGAATCTTTGCTGAATCCAATCGGACGCTCATCGGCAGCTTAGCTAATGGAGTGATCGACCTGCGACCTGCGACCTGCGACCTGGGGGTCTTCCCGGCACCGATCGGGCGGTCAACAAACCACAAATTGATTTACAGCCTCCAGCCGGCACACGAAGAGAGAGAGAGGGAGAGAGAGAGAGAGAGCGAGCGAGCTTTGGTGTCGAGCTGCCGCTCTCCAGCGCTGCCTCTGCCACTGCCGCTGCCGCTGCCGCTGCCTCTGCCGTTCGCTCTCCCGCGCAGTCACCCACTCACAAAGCTGCTCTCCCGCGCTGCCGCTCTGCCACTCGTGCCTGGCTTTCGGCGCTTTTTCGACTCTTTGGGCAAAGCAAAAAGTGATTCTAGACGGCACATAAAAAGCTCGGGTCGGCGCGCACGCTCAAACAGTTCAGCAAACGAGACGTCTGTCTGTGGACCCCAAACGAGGCGAGCGAACCAAAACGAACCGAAACCGAAAATCAATTTATCTTCAGTGTGTGTGTGTGTGTGTGTGTGCGTGCGAGTGTGCGTGTGCGTCTGTGACTGAGACAAGAACAAACGCAACAAAGACAGAGACGTAGACGTAGACCCAGAGCAAGACATGGCCAAGTTTGTGCTGTGCCTGTGCCTGTGCCTGGCTTTGGCCCTGGCTGTGTCCCAGGCCCAGCCGCAGGCTGCCGTCACCGAATCACCCATCATGGCGGAGCAGTCCACCGAGTCCCCCATAGCGGACATGGCCCTGATTGGTAGGCAATGAGAAACCACAGACCCAAGACCAACAACCAACAACCAACTAATTTTTTTTGTTTGTTTTCTCCTCCCCTTTGTGCTCTTTTTATTCCTCCCAATTTTTTTCATGTGCCCAAAACAAATCCTGTGATGGTTTTTTTTTTACATTTTTTTTACATTTTTTTGCTGTGTTTATGAAAATTTGGTGACTGGCACAGAGGATGCACCGATGGCGCCCAAGAGCCCCACGGAGAAGCCGCCAGTGGTGGTGGTGGAGGCCATGGAGCAGCCCAAGGCTGATGAGCCAAAGGCCGCCGCTCAGCCGCATACAGTGGCGGACTTCATCATCCACCCACTGATTGCGTTCAAGCCACGGCAGGCGGCGTTCGATGAGCTGCAGGGTAAGCAGTCGGGAAATGCTGGCGCCAGTCCATCGCCCGCCTCGCCCGGCACCTGGCTCTTCGGCATGAATCCCGCCCAGGGTCTGGGCTCATCCTTCTCCACACTGGCGGGCTCCGTGTCCGGCTGGTTCAATGATCGCCTGGCTGCTGCCGGACAGCAGCTGCCTGGCTTGGTGGACACACCCGTCCGGGAGTCCACAACGACCAGCAGCACCACCAGCTCCACCACGACACAGCGTCCCGACATTGTGGTGCGCGTACAGCAGCGTCCCCAGCGTGGACAGCGTCCAGCAAATGGCAATGGCAATGGCAATCGTCGCCAGCGTCCAAATCGCTTCAACGATCGCCCCAACAACAGCAACAATCGGCTGGATGATTCGTTTGAGGATGATTACTACGACGAGGATGACTACTTCCAGGGCAATCGCTTCGATGAGGAGTTCGACGATGAGGAGGCCGACGATTTGGCCCTGAACGACGAGCAGTCGCTGGAGCAGTTCGACGAGGAAGATGACGAGCAGCAGTCCGTGGAGCAGCAGCAGCAAAAGCGTCGCCCGCAGCAGCAGCAGAAGCGCCGCAAGTCGCAGCAGGCGGCAGGCAGCTCCTCGCAGCGGAAGAAGGTGCAGGAGGCAGCAGCAGCAGCAGCACCACCAGCGGTGGAGCCCACAAAGCGTCGCCAGCAGCAGCAGGCACAGAGCAAGCCACAGGATGATGACGATGAGGATATCGAGGACGATGATGATGAGGAGGAGGACAGCATCGATGATGACAGCGATGAGGAGGAGGAGCAGCAGCAACAGTTTGCGGCACAGCCAGAGACAGAATTCTTTGTTCAATCGGGCACGCGTCGCTCCCAGAACCAGGCGAACTTCATTCAACGTGGCCAGCAGAGTTTGATCAGCCAAATTCGTCAGTTCACACGCGGCCAAAGCCCCGCCGAGCTGGGCACCAAGCTGCGTCGCACCTCACAGTCGGGAGGCTCCTCGGCCTCCCTCAAGGCACGTCGCCCCCAGCAGACGACTCTTCTGGTTAATCGCAACGGACAGACCTTGTATGTGGCCCCAGAGCTGCTGAATCTCGGCCCCGGCTATCCCTACGCCTATGTGCCCAGCCAGGCCAAGAAGCAGCGTGTGCCCGTGAGCGCCTACCCGCAGCCACCGCTGACCGTGCCCATCCGCCGGCAGGGACGCCCCACGCAGTACATAACCATCCCATGGAGCCAGCTGGGTCTTTCCCCGCCCGACCAACAGTCGATGGTCTCCCTGGCCGAGGGCATTCAGGCCCAGCCGCTGATCCTCAACATTCCCCAAAGCGCCATCAATCCCGTGCAGCAGCAGCAGCAGCATCAGCAAAAGCAGAAGAAAAAGAAGCGTCCACAGCTGACGGCATCGGCGGTGCCACTTCTGGCTGAGGCCTCGCTAATGGACATCTTCCAGCCGCCACAGATTCCACCCTCCCGCACAGGATCCGCGAACAAGCCCAGCGGCAATCAGCCCGTCCTCATTGGCGCCAAGCCCGTGAAGGCTGCCAGCAGCTCGGGCGCCGCTCTTCTGCCCACCCGCATCCGGCCGGGCACCATCGTCGAGAAGGCACCCGCCATGGCCAGCGACTCCGAGCTGAAGCCGCAGGAAGCCAGCGAGCAGAAGGAGCAGGAAATGAAGATGCCACTGGCTGTGTCCACGGAGTTGCCGCAGGCCAACAAGCAGGATCAGGAATTCATTCTTGTCGGCGATGACAATGAGCCCGGACTGTCGCGACATGTGCAGCCCGCCTATGGCGATGCTCGCTATGTGCCCTACGGCGACTTCCATCCCTACTTTGATCTGTTGCATCAGAATCGACGCTTCGCACTGCGCAAGAGCGGACGCGCCCTGGAGCCACAGGCCGCAGAGGGAGAGAAGATCGAGCAGGCAGACACGATCAAGGAGGAGCAAACGAAGGAGGAACCCATCAAGGAAGCTGCCAAGGAGGAACCCGTCAAGGAGGAACCCGTCAAGGAGCAAGCCGAACTCCCCTCCGATCAAATCTCCGCCTAATTGTAGAGCTACAGAGTTACGAGTAAAAAATACCCAAAACTGAATAATGAATAATGAATAATGAATGAATCAAATGCCCCAAAAAAAAAACCAAAATTTGCGATTTTCAATTCACGTGAAACCGAAGCAAAATAAATATTTTTTGTTATATTTTTTTGTTGTTCGTTTGTTGCCTGCCGCAGAGATAAGAGTGGCAAGGAGACAAAGAAATTGATTTGCATAATTTCGGGTATCTTTTTGCCAGTTGAAAGTTCAAAGCCAAAATCTCTGCAGAAATCTGCGCGCTAATGAATTCCCTTGGAGTGAGCGTTGACCCCAGACAAAGGCTGCAAAAACCAAAAAAAAAAAAAAAAAACAAAAGAAAGAACCCAAAAAGCGATCTCCAGCTCTAGATTTGAATTTCAATCTTTCTTGTGGCAAAATGAATGCCATAATTAATAGAAAGAAAGCCGTTGGGCCGTTTGGGTGGTGCATAATTAATTCGCGATGGAGTTGAAAGCCGTTAAGTGAGGGACAGTTCTGGGTACAGTTATGCTGCAGAGCAAAATCTCGGAGCTGTGGCAGCAGCAGCGCTAAGACCGGTTGCAACTCTGCGCTTCAGCAGCAATTCCAAGTCCGAGTGCAACTCTGCAGCCTTTAAGCTCCCGCTGGAGTGTCATAGCTGGCAGCTTTCAGCTTTCAGCTTTCAGCTGTGAGCGCAGGATTGCAGGATGAGCTTTTAGCCCCTGAAGATCGCGAGCGCCTAAAGAGCTTTCTCTTTGAAACCTTTTGCAGACAAAAGTTGATTGCTGGGCAGCAGCAGGGAAGACAGGGATTACTGGCTATAACGAACACAACACACAGGCGACAGCAACAAAAACCCAATGGAAGTTCTCTTACAGCTAACAAAATTCACCGACAAGCCCGCGGGCGTGGCAGAGACTCGGGAGCAGCGGAGTTTGCTTTGGAATTTGCATAATCATTGCTCCATGGAAAGTACTAGGCCAAGTGCCCAGCGACCACTTGAACAGACATCAGAGGAGATCCACAAAAAAGGGTTGACAACATTCAGCATTATGCCATTCGTCACACAGAGAGGCAGAGGCGGAGCCAGAGGCGGAGGCGCTCATTAACGCCGTCAATTAATAATTCAGCAAAGAAAAAATAAGCAGAACAAAGAAAAACACAGAGAGGTGAACGATCAGGCAAGTGGTCGCTCGATCGAAAGAAATTCTAATTCATATTCATATTCAGATACAGATTCGAGGCATGTGCAGAGATCTATCGAGAAGAGAGGTCACCGGCCAGCGGGCATTCCGAACGGAATTCTTTTTTTTGTCCATAATTAATTCCCAATGTTCGGGCTCTGCCCTGCCTCTACGTCCATTGAACTTTCAACTTTCTGCGCGAACATTTTGTTTGTGTATTCTCCCTGGCCCATAGCTAAGGCTTTAATCAATTTATTAACCATTTGGCAGCCGCTTTCTTTGCGCCGTTGCTTTTTGCGACTCGTTTCGAGGTTACTCGCTGCTTGACCCCCACCTAGACATTCTTATGGAAATGAACTCCAATTCAACAGCTCAACCGTTTGCCATCTCCCATCTGCCATCTGCCATCTGTCATTTTGCGCATTAGAAATTTGTATTGGTAGTTTTCTCCCTCTGCCAGGCTGTTGGCAGGCGGACTTTGGATGCCATTTGGGGAACAGTTTTAACAATAAATAAATTATGTTTCGCATTAAATATTCTGATTTTTCTGGCTTAGACTTTTGACTAGCTTACAAAATCCAACAGTAAGTGAATATTTTTCATACATTTTTACAGAGCAAATTGGAGATTCAACAGAAGAAAGTGTCCAGAAGAGAGAGTGTGCCCAATGGCGGATGAATTTTTCCTAAAAGAGATTGAAATACACAATTGAAATCAATGAAATAAATGTTTCAAACTTTATTAGGTCTTCGCCGTTGACCTGTGGCGATGTTGTGGCTGCTGCAACTCCCTTTCGACTTCCGACTTGGAACAAAATTATGGAAGAATCAATTGCCGGAGAAGTCGCTGACGAAGTCTGTACGATGATGATGACTCCAAGATCGAGCTGCACAGCTTTTAATGCACAGAATTAGCAATTAGATTTGTGGAAATTTATTGTCACCTAAGTCTTGTTTTCTAAGCTTTTCAACTTCTGTTCAAAATATTTTATATTGCCAAAATAAATGATCGAAATTATTCGAAACCAAATCATAATTGCAAGGCATCTGCCGCAAGGGTTTCGTTTTATTTAAATGCTGTTCATAAATATTTAATGAAATATTTATGGGACTTATTGGGTCAGTGGCTGGCAGCCTAAATTCCACCTAATTTACAGTCTAAAACTGTTGTTTCCATAAATAAAATTCAAACAAAATCCAACAATTACCTTAATGACTTTAGAGTTGAATTTAGAGAATTTTAAATGTATTTTTTAATAAACTGATGAGGAAAAAGACAAGAATTTTGGCATAGAAAAAATAGAAAGAGAAGCAAGCAAATTGAGACATTTGAAGAGAAGAAAATAAAAGAAAATATTTCGGATGTGAGTTAATTCTGATGGAAATTCTTTTGCATTTTTGCTGTGTGAAAACCGTCGTTGGGTTGAAGGACTCATGGCAGAGGAATAACCTGCCATCTTTACACTATTTCCCTTTATCAGAGTGCTGCCTAGAGGCTGCCTTCTGCTTGTCGAAAACTTATTTTCATCTGTCCGCAACGGCTGCCAGTTGTGGCTCGTTGTTCATCTGAAACAATAATTAAAGCAAGACATTTGGCACATCATTTTCTCTTTTACCATGAGCCATGATTGGAGGTGTCTGCCTCCTGAAACAAATACAATGAGAAGGGCTTTGTAGCTAAAGCAATAGCTGAGCCCATCCCCACACTTTGTGCCATCAATCAGTGGCCGAGAGAGTTGTGCGTGGCCAGTCGGAAGGGGGTCACGGAAGCCAGCCACACGAGCCGCGAGCAGCGTGCGAACACTTGGCCACAAAACACTCTTTTGGCCAACTCTTCTGAGTGTGACTGGGGAGGGACTGGTGTGAGTGGTGTAAGGGGCAGCCGAGTCTCACTCTTGAAGCAGTATATGATCGCTGGAATGGTCTGTGGGCCCAACAGTTTCACATGCGTCGCTGACTTGGGCAGCAGGTCCATGACTTCTCCACTTCTATTCATGTCCCATGGATGTTGCTGGATGCTGGATGCTGGATGGTGGATCTATTGCTGATCTCCAACGTTGCGTGTCTCTGCTGATTGTTTTGTCATTAGCATGACGCTGAAGTTGTGCCGCGTTGTCCGCTGTCCGTTGTCCGTTGTCCGTTGCCCTGTGGGTTCATTTTTGCGTGTGTGTTTGGTCCCTCCCTCTGGTCATTTCTTTTGGAACTCAACTTTTGCTTATTTGCTATTCAACTCTTGAGCTCTTTCTTTCGGTTTTCTGGGGGGTCACTGAACCACATTTATGCCCATCGAATTTCTTTTTCTTGAAGCCATTCTTGTGGTTGGTTTTTTGCCACTTGAAATCATGCCGACATCGACCGCAATTATGCCCAATTCTTGAATATATATTCTTGATTTCATCTCTCTCTTCTCCCTCCAGAAGAGTTCTTTTGCGGCCAGGGCAGAACTTTTTCGCATAAAAACCTAATGCCATCGCAGCGAGCTGTACAGTTCTCTGGAACTTTGCTTACAATTAGGACCCAGAACCAGTCACGGCCCACGGCCCACACACTGACTGCTTTCGATTGAGGATCACCCACGCCCACAATCATGTCCAAGTGTCTTGTTGCCTTTTGTGCCTTGAGCTGCTTGCTGGCCTTGGCCCTCGCCGAGCCGCGGCTTCAGCAGCGCCAACTCCTGCGGCAGTCCCAGCAGTCCCAGCAGTCCCAGCAGCAGCATCCTTACCTCTTCCTGTCCATACCCAGAGGTCTGCCCAATGCCGGCGCCGTTGTTAAGGGCTTTGAGATTGTCGAGGAGGCCGATGACGATGATGCTGATCAGGACAATGAGATGTTGCGGCAGCCACAGGACGATGACGAAGACATCGACGATGACGAGCAGTTCCACGACGATGACGACGATGAGGATGAGCTGGAGCATCAGTTGGGCCTCAACTTTGCCCGTCACGGCCAGTTGGTGTTGCTCAACAATCCGAACTCGCGCAGGAACAACTTCCAGCAGGACGAAGATCTTGTGGATGATGACAGTGAAGACGACGATGACGAGCCTCTGCCAGCTGTGGGTAATCTCCGCAAGACACCAAATCTCAGCTTGAACCTCAATCAGGCGAATGGCCAGCAGCTGCTGAAGAATGCGAAGGCCACCCAAATGGTTATACCCAGGGACCAGGCTGGTGCCATTATGGTGCCCGATGGCATCATTGAGATCGAGGGCCAGAGCGTCATCGATGAGAAGACCGGCAAGGCGGCGCTGCTCGTGCCACGTGCCGCCCTCGATGCCATACCCGATGGCGCTGTCGTTGCCCTCATGGAGCGCTCGTCTGGCGTCGCCGCGGCCGATGCCATCGAGGAGGAGCGCGCCAATCGTGTCATTGTGCGTCGCCGCAAGAATAACGGACGCCGCAATGTGCGCCGTCGCGGCTCCAACAGCCGTCGTCGTCGTCGTGGCGGCAACCGCAGGCGTCGCGTCGGTGGCAATCGTCGCCCCAACGTTCATGTCATTCGTCCCACTGGCAATCGGCAGCGCGCCGGACAGCGACGTCGCGGCGGTCAGGTCGTCCTGCAGGGCTAAGGCCCATTCCCACACCCCCAACGATCACCGTCTCTAAATAGTATTATAATTAAGAGCTAAGCCAAGACAAGACCACCCGACGACAATTTTTGAATAACGAAATAAAATGTGATATGAAAAATTACTTATGCTTGTTTTTTCATTGCTTCGATTTGGGGGAAGAGTTGGCATTTATTTTTGAATTGCTCACAGCTGGCAAATTGCACCTTTGACTTGTGTTGTGGCATTTGCACACACTTTCACGTTAGATAAATACATTTCTAGCTTCGCATAGACTTAAGTAAGCTGTGGAAAGCTATTCATTCCCCTTAAAGGTGAAAACTTTAACTAATCAATTATTTACGCTAAAGATCTATTCATTGATTGAAACCTAAGCCAACAAAGTCTATGGTCCATGGAAGAGACATGTGGGCAACATTTCAACTGTAATAAAGTATTGTAGATAGAGTTAAGATGGACTTTAAGCAAGGGATTAACTTTGAGCACAATTTACGCTGCATCTAAAGTGCAAATTGTTTTAATAATTCAACAAGCTCAGAGGTAGAAAATAAATCTCTTTTAAAAGTAAGTTCGTAGTAGCCATCAAAGTGGAAGTGAGAAAGCGCACTAAAGGGTTATGGCTAAGTATGAGCAAAAATGGAAGAAAACGTAAAACTGAAATGAAATAATATTTCTGTTTTGAAGACCCTCAAATAATCCTTAAAGCTAAGGCATTTAATATGTAGCTGACATCGTTCATCGTTCTAATTAAGTATTTTCTGGCCTATATTTTCTTTGAATTTAATCCACAGTCATCAGTTAGTTGTTGGTAAAATAAATAGCAACTGAGAAGTTCAATCTGGTGGGTCATAATTTGTCAAAAAGAAGAAAAACTAAGCATGAAGCAAGGTGAATTATCCTTCTTGATCACTTGAAATTGTTGCTTCGAGCGCCCAAGCAGGGTCACAGCTTCGACAATCTGTTACAAAGAAAAGACAAAAATATAATTGCAATAAAAAGGATCGCGTGGAGCAGGTGTCCGCGGACATTAGCAGGTGTCCGTGGAATGCGAAGCGAATAAATCAACTGAGTTTTGAGTCAGTGCTGCAGAGTCAGGTGTGAAATATTTATTGAGCAGACGACCAGCTGGCTAGAGGTCAAGCTCTTCTTTTGGTCGTTTGCCATTCTCCAGAGTTCTCTGGGCCAAGTTTTGAGTTCTCAAATCTGGCGTTAATCAATCATTGGCCTGAACTGGAGAGAATGTTTTTTTTTTGGCAAGAGAAATGTGTGGGGAAAATTAGCATAAGACTAGAGCTACCGCTGAACCATGGCCCCGTGACCCGCCTGGGGCGCTCCTCGGTCCCACTGCTAATAGGCCAGTGAAAAGGGGAAAGGGAAGAGAGGACGACGAGCAGAGTGACGGCCATCGATCAACGATTCTGGATAGAACTTTGACGGATACTTTGACGGGCTATATAATCGGCAGAAATCCCATCAGTTGTCAGTCAGTTGCGGAGTGCAAGCTCAGAGACAACAAGTAGCCGGGAAACCAACAGCCAAGTCCTTTCAGCCCAGAAAAGATTCCACAGAATCCCAGAATCATCAGCCCCAGAATGCACTGCTTGCTACAGCTGAGCTTGGCGGTGGCGCTGTGCGCCCTGCTTGCCCCATCGGCAACCATTGGTAAGTGCCCCAACGGGACGAACACTGATGGCTCCTGATGTGTGCTACAATCGCTCTCCTCCAACTCAATTTGCAGCTGAACGTCGTCCCAGCTACCGCCTGGGTGTGCGTTCCAGCGGCCAGCCGGAGGGCAGATTCACCTCGTCCATAGCCAACAAGTTCAGCACACTGAAGGGCACCACAACGACCACCACAGTGGCCGCCACCACCACGACCACTACGAGCACGCCCACTACGACCGCGCCCTCTACGACCTCGCCCACCACGACCTCGGGCACAACGACTTCAACGACAACGCCCACTACCACTGCCACTGGCAGTCGTGCTTTTGGCGATGTCGAAGGCCTCGAGGAAAGCTCCGATGAGGAACTGGCACGCGCCTACGATGACGACGAGGACGATGATGAGCAGTCGGGCAGCGCCAGCATTGAGCTCGACGTTGACGACCACGACGACGACGATGACGAGTTCTATGTGCTGGCCGCCGGAGGCGGCAGCAGTGCTGTACAGCAGGGTGGCAACTCCCCAGCGGCTGCCGTGGAGCGTCCCACCGAGCTGCAGTGGCGCCAGTTCCAGATGGATCAGCGCAATCGTCGTCGTGTGCAGCGCCTGCAGCGGGAGCATAACCAGCGGCTGCGCGCCCTGCTGCGCCGCCAGCGTCAGGCCGATCGTCGCAACTCGCAGCGACTGCGCCGCGTACAGCAGCAGAACCGTCGCCACAACACGCGCCGCAATCGTCTCAATCGCAACCGCAGCAAGGCCCAGCGCCAGCGTCGCCGTCGCAACAACCAGAGCCGTCGTCGCCGTCAGCAAAACCAGCGTCAGCGTCGCCGTCAGCGCCTGAACCAGCGTCGCCGTCTGCGCCAGCTGATGCGTCGTCGTCGTGGCGGTCGTCGCCTCGTCCGTGCCTAGGAGCCGATAGCCCCAAACCCACTTTGACCCACCCAACGCCTGAAATTAAATGACATTTGTATGCACAGCAAAGACAATTTTTTTTTTCTACCTTAATGCAAGAAATGTTGCTGATGAGCGGGCGAAGAGAAGCCAAAGTAGAGAGGAAGAGCAGCGGAGAAGCAGCGCAGCGGAGCAGCAGCGCAGCGGAGCAGCAGCGCAGCGGAGCAGCAGCGCAGCGGAGCAGCAGCGCAGCGGAGCAGCAGCGCAGCGGTTCCCTTTTCGCTGCAACCAACGAGAGAGCGTTTCGTCGCTCTCTTTATGCATTCGTGCACTTGAGCCGAAAGTGCCGTTTGCAAATGCGTTTCTCTGTGTGTGTTTGTGCTCGTTGTTTTTGCTTTCAGTCTTAGGTTAAGTCTGATCATTCGCCAGCAGGAACTGAAGCTGAGTTCCTTTTGAGTTAGGAACTAATTCGAGGAACTAATTCAGCTTTAATGTTGGTTCTTTGCTTTCTTTGTTAGGTGGTCTAGAGTCTGAAGAAATTCTCGGCCCGGTCTCTACCCCATGAATATGCAAATGCTAACCGTTGGATCGATTCGCGAGCTATGCTAATAAGGGGAGCTCGGGCTGAGGTTACGAATTGTGTGAGGTTCTGGCGAGATGGGGTCAGCGGCTCGCTGGCTTATTTATGGCTTTATGCAAAATAAACTTACATCTTGGACTGCTTATCTGCTTTCTTTGCGGGGCCCTTTCTTTGTGCCATCTCTTTCGCTCCTGCGTGGGCAAATGCTGTAAAGAGTTACATCTGCTGTGGGCCACGAAGGGCCCGTTGTAAAGGGCATTGGCGTTGTAAGTTGGTGACATATAAATATGAAGGGCACAGCCCTTCCAAGTCAGTCACAGCGAGCTCAGCAATCGAGAGACAGTTTCGCCACCAAAACCCCAAGTAGAATCCAGGAGTCGAGGACATGCACATGCTCAAGGGATTACTTATCGTGGTCTGCCTGGCAGCCATTGCCAGCGGTAAGTAGTGATACGAGTCCTTTGATCCCTTTGATTCGTGGTAACACATCGTGCCCCCACACTTGCAGCCAAGCCCCATCAGGCCAAGAGCGGTCAGAACTATCAGCTGTTTGGACGCAGCCGCGATGAGCCCGCCGCCCAGGGTCGCCTGAGCGCCATTCAGCTGACGGACATCATCAACAGCCTGAAGGGAACGACGACAAGCACCACAGTGGCGCCAACGACCACCTCCACGGGCACCACGACCACCACCATTACGCCCGAACCCACAACCTCCTCGGGTACCAGCACTTCCGCCACCGTGCCCACCACATCCACTAGCACTGGCCCTACCACTCTCCGCCAGCTGGACGACAACAACGTTGACGAGGAGCTGGAGGATGAGGAGGAGGATGAGCACCATCAGCTGGCCGGCTTCGAGCTGAACGATGATGAGGAGCAGGATGATGATTCCCAGGAGATGGCTGCATCGGCAGCACGCGCCACCCGCAACAACTCGAGCCGCCGTCGCCAGAATCGTCTGCGCAGTCAGCGTCGCAAGCAGCGTCGCCAGGCCAACCAGCGCCGTCGTCGCCAGCAGCAGCGCCAGCAGCGTCGTCGCCAGAAGCGTCGCCAGCAGCAGCAGCAGCGTCGTCGCCGCCAGCAGCAGAACCGTCAGCGTCAGCGTCGCAATCGTCGCTCCAACCAGCGCCTCATGAAACGCTTCCGTCAGGCCACACCCAACAGGAACCGTCGCATTCGTGTGCTCAACTAACAAACCTAACGGGATATGTAAGCAACGGTAATGAATGGAAATAAAGAACAGAAATTACAAGACGTATTGATGAGACAGTTACTCAAGGCATTCCTTAGCCCGTGGTGCTGCAAGATTTTTGCATGGCAATGCACATCCATGATGGATCTTTGATGGATCTGCACAGAACCCCTTTCAGCACTGTCTGTTGGTCTCTGCTGCCGGCTACCGGCATCGAGGGTCAAACTAGTTCAACCGCAAAAAGAGCGACGATGTGGGGAGTGCGGCGATGTTGTCGCCGAAATTTATGCATACAACTTTTTCGCCAAGAAATTTGCAAATTTTAGCAAAAGAAATGATAATGAGAGAATATTTCGATTGACACTGGATGGTGGATAGTGGATAGTGGATAGTGGAGCGTTGGGTATATAATCCCGAGTGGCCGCTGGCAATGTCACAGTCAACCAGCGACCTTCCCTCAGGGCAACACAGAGCAGCTGCACCGCCACAGAGGAAAAGGATAAGAAAAAGGATAATTCCACACCAAGACCACCCCAAAGTCGAGCCATGAAGTTCTCTTGTTGCGCTTTGCTGCTGATAGCCACAGCATGCCTGGCCCAGGCAGCCGGTGAGTGACGCCCAACCGATCGACATTAGCCCTGACTGAGTCGTCTTCCTTCCTTCCTTCCTTCCTTCCTTCCCCTCTTCTAGTGAAACGCAGCGATGATGGGAATGCTGCCCAGCTGAGATATCGCCTGTTGAGGCAGCCAAATAAGCTGGAAGGACGCAGTCTGACACAGCTGCTGGCGCTGAAGAACGGCACACCGCCATGCCCCGCACCAACGGGCACCACCGTGACACCCTCAACAACGACAACAACGATTACGCCCCCAGATACAACCACCACAGGCACAACCACAACATCGCCCATTTCATCGCCGACATCAAGTTCATTATCGATACCCAGGAGCTTCATTGATGATTTGCCCTACGGCCGTGCCCAGGAGCTGGACGATGACAACGACGACGACGATGACAGCGAGGACGAGAAGTATGTGGGCGCCTACAGGGGCAATGCCGACGATGACGATGACGATGACAACGAGGAGGATGACAGCTACGATCTGGTCGGCCATCAGCACAATCGCGCCGATTCTGGCTTGCGTCGCGGCTCTGGCTCTGGCTCCGTCTCAGGCTCAGGCTCCGGCTCCGGCTCCCAGGTATCCAACAGCGCCGTTCTCAAGGAGTTCGAGTTCCGTCGCCAGCAGGATGAGAACAAGGCACTGCGCAAGCAACTGCAGTCAATGCGCCGTCGCAACACCATGAGCCGTCGCCGCGCCCAGGAAAAGCGTCGCCGCATGCGTCGCCGCCTCAACCAGAAGCGCCGCTCCCAGTCCCGTCGCAGCCGTCGCAACCGCAGCCAGGCCAGTCGTCGCCAGCGTGCCGCTCGCCGTCGCCAGCGTCGCAACAGCCAGCGTCGCCTGCGCCGCAACCGCAATCGCAGACGCACTCGCCGCGTCTAGATCCGCACAATTTTGATCCCGTAGAACCCCCGAAATAAACCGAATAAACAACGACAAGAATTACTTCCTATTTTTTAAATCATTTTTATTGGTGCAGACACCATAGAAGTGCGAATCTTCCACTGATCCTGCGAAGATCCTCCGCACAATTTGCAAACCACAAAACTAGCAAGCATTTTGTTGAGTGCTTTGTGGGGGAACTTGTGGCTAAAACTGGGCTCTTGCTGGTGGCTCAACGGGTGTTAGCTCACTCCACAGCTCAAAGAATAGTTTGTAGAGACGAAGTTCTGTTTTTTCCTTTTTTTTCTGCACTTTTGCATCCTTTTTGTCGCCTGTTTTGGACTCTGGCTGTTTGGGTTGCAGCTCCGCAATGCGCTCCTCGCCATCCACAATGGCAAAATTGTAATGGCAATCCATGCCGAAGTTGGTGTGACGCACTGGGACTCCAGAGCGCCAAAGTTGAACAATCAACGAGCCATAATGTTGAATCCTTGGTGTGCTGGTGATGATGCGCAACTGTATGCCACGGTCATATGCAGCCATGATGGCACGATCCAGTTCGGGTACACGTATCGATAGCAGCGCCACATCGATGGCCACTCGGGCCGCTTGTATTTGCTGTTTCGAGACCTGAACCCTGCAGAAGCTGCAGCACATCGAATTTTGCCCTGCCCGCATGTCCGAAATGCTCTGCGGTATGTTGAAGACGACCACATAGTTGGTCTTTGGAGTATCCTCGACTTTCTTGTTGCGCCTCCCTATGGGTGGCACATCGAATAGCTTCCGCCTGCGAGCAGGCACTTTGATTAGAGAATATTCTTTGTAGTTTTTCCCAAACTTACAATGTGGGCGAATGCTGGACAACTGCATTGAGACGAGACCAGCGCACGCCAGCGAGCAGAAATTGCACAAACCTGAGGGCAGTGGGTCGAGTGTTCGTTCTAGAGAGGGTTTTTGTTTTTTCGTACAACTTACATGAGCCAGCAAGAGGCGAGAGCAGCTTTAATTATTTGAATCATTTTAGCCTGTCACACGCCAACACAGAAATGAAAATCACTCACACGAAAGTGAGTTTTAAATGAAAGCAAACTTGATCAGAGATTTCAACCGATTGCCACACACATTCGATTATTTTGAAGTTGTGCAAACCCTTTGACCCCGATTGTTTTTTGTCTTCCAATTAGAAATGTTCGTTGTGTGTGTTTTCACTTTTTCCGTGGCTGTGTTTAGAAAGCGAGCCGCCCAAAAAAATTGTACAACAACAAAAACTGTGGACTGCTGTGGACTGCTTGCTGGACATGGCTGAGGCAAGCAGCGCGCCAAGCAGTGGTTGACGACGATGACGATGACGATGACGATGAAGAACTTCAAATAGCTGCAGGCAAAGACACAAATTTCAATTCAATTCAATTGTGAATTGAATGGATCTGCGAGAATGTTGGGGTCTTAGGGTTTCTGTGCGTCTCGCGCGCTCTGCCTGTGTGTACTTTGGCCTATGTACACACACACACACACACACACACACGCACACCCATGGCAAAATGTACCGTTCGCTGAGGTACTTGCCGAAGTCATTTGCATTTCTTGGGTAAGTTTTTGGGTATAAAAGGCTTAACGTTGGGGCGGTAATGTATCAAACATTGATTACCCATCCGGGCGAGCACACACCGAGTCCACACCGAGTCCACTTCGCCAGCTCCGTTAACGGCCTGCTAGAAAAGTTCTCTGCCACAGAGTAGTTTCTCCCAGTCACCGACTTCGCCAAGTCCACGATGAAGCATCAAGTGTCCGTTTTGGTCCTGCTGGGCTGTTGCCTGCTGGCTGCCAGCGCTGGCCAGGAGCGCCCCAAGTCAACGGCGCAGCTGCTGAAGGCGGCGCGCCGCAGCTCGTACTTCAATGAGCCGGCCCTGGCCAAGTTCAGGTCCAATGATGCCGACATTGCCGTGGCCCTGGACCAAAAGGCCGACCAGGACAAGCTCATGCTGGGCGGTGCAGCGGCTCAGGGCAGCAGCAGCTCCACTGCCACCAAGGACGCCTCCAGTGGCCGCCTCTTCCTGAAGAAGTTCCTCATGTTCAAGAACATGTTCAGCAGCAACAACCAGCCCGTGATTCCCATCATCATTACGGGCGCTGGCACCGGCACCGGCACGGGCACCGCCACCGCCAGTCCCACGGTGACAGTCACATCCACGGGCACCATACCCTCGGCCACGGGCACCATCACCACCTCGCCCACGACTACAGGCACGACGACAGGCCGTCGCCAGAGCGATGCCCTCAACTACGGTGCCGACGTGGAGGAGGATGACGCCGCAGAGGCTGATGAGCCCCAGGAACAGGCCTATCCCGGCGCAATGGCCGCCAATGCCGAGCTGCTCGACGAACAGGCCCTCGAGGCGGCACTCGCTGCCGGCGCCCAGGAGTACGAGGTTGTGACCGATGCCGAGGTGCAGGGCACCGGTGCCACCGAGAGCAAGGCCACCCAGAACAATATGATCAACCTGCGCCGCAAGGGTGCCCGTCGCGGCCAGCAGATTAGCGTGCGAATTCCGCCACGTTATCGTCGCTACTTCAAGAACGGCCAGAAGGTGATGCTCAACACCAATCGTCGCCCCAACAAGCGTCGCGTGGTGAGGAAGCGTGTCCAGAACAAGAAGCAGCAGAACCGTCGCCGTGTCAACGGTGGCAACAAGAAGAACAACAGGAAGAACCGCAACAAGAACAAAGGCAACAAGCGCACCCGCATCACCGCCGTCTAAGCGCGATCACTCCCACCTCCCACCTCCCACTTCCCACTTCCCACTTGCCCAGCAGCATGAATATTATTTTAGTTTTTTTTTGTCTAATTTATTGTAGCTAATGTTTAAAGGTGAAGCCTCCTCCATGCTCTCCTTTCTTTTGGAACAAATAAACGAATTCTTCTCTTTGAAAAGTACTTCACGCACTTGACACACATTTTTTTTGGACGGCAGCATGATGGGGCAGTACGCGGCAGTGCGTGCCCCCGCGGGCATTACATTTCGTATTTAAGACAGTGGCAGGCCGGGGGCCTCAATCAAACATGGATTGCCCGTCGTTCTGCCAATTGCTGATCTTCTCGTGCCTCGCCGTTGCCCTGTTCGATGGCAGCGGCACGGTCGCTGCCGCCGGCTGCAGTGACAGGCTGCGACTGAGAGCCTCAGAGGCCCAAATCGATCTCAGCCAGCTGAGCGCAAAGCAGTTGCAGCTGTTGGTAAAGCAGTTGACCGCTCTACAGCACAAGCAGAAGGAGCAGAATCAGAGCGAGGAGGCTCAGCCGCTGGACGATCAGGAATTGGAGTCTCAGAACTTGGAGGACCTGCAGCAGTACGAGGACGATCATCGGGGCAGCAGTCGACCCTGGAACCGATTGCAGCGCATTATACGTCGCCAGTTGGTGCGCATTCCAAAGCGCTACCTGAAGAAGCTGCTGCGGCAGTTTGGCTTGGCGCGAAACCTCGATGTGAGCAATGTAAGGGCAGTGGAATTGCTGCCTCAGCCGCAGGATTACTATCTAATACCGTTGGAATAAATTGAAGCAATTCAATAAATCAATGAAAAGCGTGCAGCCCCCTTTGCTCTCTCTTCTCCTCTCTTCTTGTTCGCTCTTCTTCGTTCAGTGCACTTGCGTGCACAAACAACAAACACAAAGCCAACAAAAACGTTTCTTGCTTCTCTGCCGCTGCGCGCGCAGCGTCGCAGCAGTGCGTGGGCCGACACGAAGTTGTTTCGGGCACACGAAGCTTTTGCGCTGCTGCGTGGGCCGACTGCGCTGTCCGAGATCTTTTTCTTTGCACGTTTACGATGCGCATAAACTTTGCTGGAGCAAAAGCTTAGTCAAAAGCTCACTGGTTCGCTCGCTGGCGCGCTCCCCATCTCAGCAAGCTCTCGCTCTCTTACCTAACACCCAAACAGCTGATCAGCGCTGCCCGAAACGATAACCAGAGTCACATTCAGCCAGAAAGCAGAGTGGCGTGTTGTTTTCTTTTTGAGTTCTGAAGATTTTTGTAATTTAATTGGCATAATGACCGGCGGAATACTGGCGGGCAAGGTGGCCTTGGTCACAGGTGCGTCTGGCGGCAGCAGATTGCTTCGTTGCGCTAACCCCCACTGAATATTGCAGGTGCTGGATCTGGCATAGGGCGTGCCACCTGCCGTCTGCTGGCCCGCGATGGAGCCAAGGTAATTGCCGCCGATCGCAACTTGGAGTCGGCCAAGGAGACGGCCCAGGAGCTGGGCGCGGAGCGTTCCGCTGCCCTGCAGGTGGATGTCTCCTCGGCGACGAGTGTGCAGGCAGCCGTGGCGGAGGCGCTGCTAAAGTTTAAGCAGGCACCCAGCATTGTGGTCAACTCAGCGGGCATAACGCGCGACGGCTACCTGCTGAAGATGCCCGAGCGGGACTTCGACGAAGTGTACAGCGTCAACCTGAAGGGCACGTATCTGGTGACGCAGTACTTTGCCAAGGCGATGATCGAGCAGCAGCTGCAGGGCGGCAGCATTGTCAATCTCTCGAGCATTGTGGCGCGCATGAACAATATGGGACAGGCGAACTATGCGGCCACCAAGGCCGGTGTGATCTCCTTCACGGAGGTGGCCGCCAATGAGTTCGGCAAGTTCGGCATTCGCGTCAACTGCATTCTGCCCGGCTACATTGACACGCCCATGGTGGCCGTGGTGCCGGAGGCCATCAGGCAGCAGGTGGTGCAGCGCTGTCCAGTCGGCCGCCTGGGCAAGCCCGAGGAGATCGCCGAGGTGATTGCCTTCCTCGCCTCCGCCAAGGCATCCTATGTGAATGGCGCAGCCATTGAGGTCACTGGCGGCCTCAAGTGATCCCTTCCAGCTGGGCAGCTGGGCAGCTGACGAGGAGTAGAGCTAGAATTTTGCATTTACACATTGAACAATAGAACTGACCTTGTGATGATCTAATCTCTGGAGTTATCTTTTAATCGCAGAGTTTCTACACACCCATGAACCTAAGCAGCAGCTGCCACCTGTTGCTGTTGCTGCTCTGCTCTAATTGAAACGAGCACGAAGTGTGCATCGCCATCTATGGGCTAACTTCTGTACTTTTATTGCTGAAGCTTAACAGAAAACAGTTCTGTTAAGCAACAGTGGAGTGCGCTGTTAAGTGTTTGACTGCTTAACATTTGAGATCCATGCTCTGAGCTTCAACTGTAGTTTTAATTACTAAAATATATTTTCAGATTTATTTAAAATTGGGAAATGAATTAATTAGCCATTCAAATATTAGAAATAAATATTTTCGTGTTGGTTTTTGGAAAGTTGTCATGTTCCTTGCATACTTTTAGGCCACATGGAAATAATATTCTAAAAGCCCAACTGCCTCTCACTCACTTTCTCTCTCTGCCTGTCTCCCTGCTGTCTGTGGGCGCCTTGAAACCACCTTGATTGCCTCGAGCGGCCCCCCGTATGCTGCGAAAAGCGCGACCCCGACCCGACCCCAAACTGAACCGGCGACCCAGCGACCATTCAACCACAAAAGGACCATCGAAGTGGCAAATGGAATGTGTGACACGGCTTGTTGTGGTCATTGGGGTGGCACGGGGTTCCCTTTGTGGTGCTGTGTTGGGTGGACCACCGAAATGTACAATATTAATATATTTCACAATTCCCCAGCTGCTAATTAACTCAGTCGGAAGGGTGTACACAAACACACATGAAGTGAGAGCGAGAGAGAGAGGGAGACACATATGTTGACGGGGTGTGTGTGTGTGTGTGTGGGGGGTGGTTGAGTGATGAGGGGTAGCATAGCTGCTGCTGCTGCTGCTGCTGCTGCTGCTGCTGCTGCTGCTCCTGGTCTGTGGTCGTGTGTGCAATTTAAATAATGAAGACATTTTATTAATTCAAGAAATTGAACCCAACCCACACCCTTCCGCACACACATTGACATGCACATGGACGCACACATAGACACTTGGGCACATAGACACACGCGTGGAGTAGCAATTACAGCGGCAACCCAACATTAAGCAACCTCCAACCACAGAAAACTTGCCAGGCATTTGGGGTTATGGGCGCAACCCCAACCCCCGCAACTCAACACGGCCATCAGGCCACCCGAAACTCCCCTCAATGGCTTTCTGCCTCCTTTTTAGTGCATAGTGAAAAACAAAACATTTGCTAATCATATGAAAGGGGCAGGGCAAAGCCTTCAACTCTGCCTATACCTTTACCTCTCCCTCTCTCTCTTTGCAGCCATCTCTTTCCAGCAATTAACAACGCAGTGCGACACAAGCGGCGACGACAAGCCAACACTTGAGCCGTAAACCAGCTCCCCACACGACCCCAGCAACGACCCATAAAGCCTTCCACCCCACATACACACACACACACACACACACACACACACACACACACACACACACACACAAGCCGAGACCAGGAGCAGACCCAAACCCCGACGCCCAATCCACTTCATGCCCACTGCCTTGGCACTTGCCATATCTCATGTTAATGAAATCGTAACTCTTCGTGCGCCTCGTGTGCGCTTTTTTGTCGTTGATGCTACGGTTGTTGCCCCCCCCCCCCCCCACCACCCTCCCCTTCCCAACCCTTCACCCAACAAGAGACAAAAGGAAAACGCGTCCGAGGTGTCGCCACAACGGATGTCCCCACAGATCGCATTGCACGGTGAAAGAAATGCGCACGAATTCACCGGACAATGGGTCTGAGATTGGACAGCAGTTTCAACAGAGAAGTTCCTTGTTGTGCAGAAGCAGGAGGAAAAGCAGCTGAGGGGCCACAACACTTGCCAAAGTGTCAACAGCTCGAACAGTAAACACCCTGAAGGTGGAACGATTGATTGCTATTTTGGAAGGCAATCTGTTAGTTTATTTGCAAATAAACAAATAAATGTTTTGCCTTTTACTAACATTTATTGCAGATCTTCTTTGATTATTCGAACAATATTTATTCTCAGCTCAAACGATCTTTGTTCCTTCATCTAATTCGCATGCACTGCGCATGGGAAGAGATCACGGGCAGCGCAGTCGTCATAAAAGCTTCGTGTGACTGCACCGCTGCAGCGGCAGAGAAAGAACTTCGACTGCGGCAGAGAAGCAAGAAACGTTTTTGAGCTTCTCTCTCTTGCTTACTCACCCGCTGTGCAGCTCTGTCAGAAAAAAAATGCATGTGCGACAGAGAAGCAAGAACCGTTTCTTCTTTTGGTGTGTGTTTCCGCATTCGCCTCCTACCTGCGCTCTCCCAAATTCTGTTCGCTCTGTTCGCTCTTTCTGCTGCGTGCGGTATCTCACGTGAGTCCGACAACAAAGAAATGCTAATTAACACAACTAACCGCAATTGCAACTTCCTTTTGACTAAGCGCACGTAGGACCCCCCCCC